GGTCTCCCTATAGCCCCAGCTGGCCTGGAACTCACTATGTAGACCAGGCTGGCCTCGAACTCACAGAGCTCCATCTGTCTCTGCCTTCCAAGTGCTGGGATTAAAGGCCTGTGCCACCACACCCAACTTGTTGTGAACCTTTGAAAGAGGAAGAAAACCCTTCTGTCCTAAGTTCAGAAAGACATTTCTTATGTTTGAGAGTTTGGAAGCTCCTCTCCTTGTCCGTGTCCATCATCTATCTGAAAGTGTGTGTGGCATAGTGTGTGCAGATGTGTGGTGTGTGTAGCATATGAGTAGATATGTGCTAGATGTATGTGTGAGTGTAGTATGCACATGTGTGGCATGTGTAGTGTGTGTGCATAGGTATGTGCTTGCTGTATGTGTGCATGTTGTGCTCAGGTATGGTGTAGTATGTGTGCATAGGTGCGTGTGTAGGTGTGTAGTAAATACACACAAGTGTGTGGTGTGTGTGCAGGTATAGTGTGCAGGTGTGTGGTGTGTGTGCAGGTATAATGCGCAGGTGTGCTGGAAGGAAAGGTTGCCCTTGGACATCTGAGGCTGTGTCCATGGTGTTCTTGTCACTGGTCCTTCCACTCTGAAAGGCTCTCGCATCCCTGCCAGGATGTTAGTAAACCTTGAAGAGATTAATAGGTGCTGTTTTGGGGTGTGCCGGAGGCCCTTTGTTTTAGTGCTAGGAATCCAGGGCCTCACATGCTAAGCACACGCTGTATAGTGGTGGTTTCTTTTCGTCTTTCACTGTACGTTGCTGCATGTACGTTTGTTTTTTTAAGGTACGTTTAGTCAGGTGAAAGTCCTCCTTTCCCTTCATTGTGGGTGCTGAGTTCTGCCTTTTTTAGACTGTTATGTGATTAGCTAATGTCATCTCTTTCTTCCTTTTCTGAAATAAACCACCCAAAGTGAGCACCCCTAATCTTCACCTGATGGGGTCTGGGCCAGAGGGACAGAACTGAAGTGTGTGGACTGCTCCTCAGAGCAGCAGGATGTTCACAGGCGATAATACTCTGTAGCACGACTGAGTTGCTGCAGTAGCGGGCACGTGGCTCTTGGCCACAGGCTCTGCACTGCAGAGTGGTGCCGTCCTCTCAGTACTTCTGTGAAAGCTCCACGGCAGCCAGGGTGGCCTGGGCCAGCCTCTTGAGGGATACATGCCCCCTAAACTTGGATTAAACACTTCTGATAATGCTTTTAAAACAAACAAATGATCTCAGGCTGGCACGATGGCCTACTGGGTGCAGGTGCTTGCCACCGAGCCTGATTAATGTGAGGTTGACCCCTGGCACTTGGAATGGAAAGAGAGAACTGGCTTCAATTAGTTGTCCTCTGACCTCCTTGAATGCTGAGGCACACCCTCCCCTAATAAATAAATAATAAATAGCCCAAACCCTGACCTTTATGTTTTAGCAGAAATACGTTCATTATAGAGAATTTGGAAAATGACAACAGTGAGGATGAAAGAACTCACCTGGACCCCAGTGCCTCTCACATGGCGCACTTCCTGCTGGGACCCCCAGTGCCCCCCACGTGACCAGGCTGGCCTCGAACTCACAGAGATCCACCTGCCTCTGCCTCCCGAGTGCTGGGATTAAAGGCGTGCGCCACCACGCCTGGCCCAGATCATATTTCTTGAGGATGAACAGTCATGCCAGATGACCAAATCAGAGACCGAGCATCTCTATTCCTGTTTCTGTTCTGTCTGCCTGTTCTCCCTTCTGCTGTTGAGCACAACACTGAGGGAACTCCAGCTCCCTGCACTGCTAAAGGCCCAACTGCATACTTGTCAGCACTGTGGAACCTGCTGACCCTGGATATGACGTTTGGTTTTTGATGGTGATGCTTGTACATGTGAGGGATACCTGCACATCACCACACATTGCAGACCTTCAGGTGCCCCTAGCCTTGAAGGGTGTCTGTGTGTGTATTCATGTGTGCTCAGGTGCATGTATGTGCACACATGTACATGTGTCTCCATGCATGTATGTGCAAGTGTATGTGTATGTACCTGTTGTATGTGTGTACATTCATGTGTGTTTGGGTGCATGTGTGCCTATGTATGCAATGTGTACATGTGTGTCCTCATGTGCGTGCAGATGCACCTGTGTACACTCCTGTGTATGTGTATGTTCTTGTGTGTACAGATGCACAAATGCAGGTGCATGAGGAAGCCCGTAGTCAACCTGTTTGTCACCCTCAGAAACCGCCCACTTTGTTTACATCATTTGTGTGTGTTTGGAGGGTGTGCGTGTGCACATGGAGGTCAGTGCTTTTACCCACTGAGCCATCTCCCGAGCCCTAATTTGTTTTTGTTTTTTTTTAATGTGTATGAGTGTATTGCCTGCATGTGAGTGCACCCGTGTTGTGCAATGCCACAGAGGTCAGAAGAGGGCTTCGGATTCCCCTGAAACTGGAGTTAAGGACAGTTCGTAGCTGCCGTGTGGGTGCTGGGAATCGAACCCGGGTCCTCTGTAAGAGCAGTCAGTGTTCCTAACTGCTGAGCCATCTCTCCAGCCCCTTTTTTTGGTCTTTTTGAAACAGGGTCTCCCTGTAGCTCCAGCTGGCCTGGAACTCACTTTGTAGACCAGGCTGGCCTTGAATGCAGAAATCCACCTGCCTCTGACTCTTGAGTGCTGGAATTAAAAGTGTGCACCACCACTCCTGGAGTGAGCCCTAATTTTACAAATTTGTAGAAAAATCAGTTTTCATTTTGAAGCGATGCTTCATTACTTTTTTTTTTTTTTTTTTTTTTTTGAGACAGGGTCTCCCTGTAGCCCCAGCTGTCCTGGAACTTACTATGTAGACCAGGCTGGCCTTGAACTCACAGAGATCCGCCTGCCTCTGCTTCCCAAGTGCTGACATTTTTATTTTTGTGGTGCAGGGATGGACCCATGGTCTCGTGGGTACTGTGCTGCACCTCCAGCCTCCATGATGTTTTCAGTGTGCTTTCTAACATAGTCATCTTCCTAGGCTTGAACACGTAGGTTTTTCCCAAGCTGATTTTATTAAGTCTGCTAGAGAATGTTTGCACCAAAGACTGCACAAGGCCATTTCCTTAGCTGGGTGGGAAGGAGGGCTGCTATCTGATAGTTTTGAGTCCTACTGATGGCTTCCAGAGTTGGGGTGCTGTGAGCACAGGCAGCCCACCACCCTGCCGATGGGCCATGAGGTCTTCTGTTCTCATCTATTTGGTCAGCAGCTCAGGCACTGTGGGTGGCTCTTCAGGCAGAGTGCCAGGGACAGCAGTGAGCTCTCTGGCCCTGTTTCCTCTCACTGCAGGGCCATTGAGGAAGGTCACCTGTGCTGGTGTCTTGGGTGTTGGCGCTCAGCTGTGCTCTCTCCTCACAGCGTTTGAAGACATGCTGGAGAACCCACTTAACAGCACGCAGTGGATGAATGACCCAGAGACAGGCCCAGTCATGCTGCAGATTTCTAGAATCTTCCAGACGCTGAATCGCACGTAGGTGGTACCTACTGTGCCCCTTGGCTGTGTGTCCCACCTGCATCCCAGGTGCTGGGCGGAGGGCCCAGCAGTGATCTTGCCTGTAAGCCACCTTCAGCACCGGGCCTGGATCACAGCTGTGGTGACTCTCCCTCCCTGACCTTACTGCTTATCAACTTGTGTAGCGGTGCTTTGTAGGCCACAGTCCTAGCTTGACAGGTGTTTACAGAAAGGGGCTATTGTACTGGGAAGGTGGGCGATTGCAGCCCCTCCCCCCAGATGTTCTGCTGAGCTCCCAGTGCTACTTGACTTGACCCATGAAAGAAGGCATGTTCCAATCCAAAGTGTTATGTCGCGTGTGCTAATTTACCAGTGAGTCACAGATGACCTCTTCAATGAATAAACCCTTTTCCTATCTCCAGTCTTTGTGCTACTTGGTGGTGGCAGCAGCGGGGACATCACATGCGCCTTGTGTGCCTGGGGCAGGGGCATTGCCACAGCACCTCGGCCATCGTGGTGACCTTGTGGTCTGATCTGTGGGGAGGTGAGGGTAGGGTGCCACGATCCACGTGTGGAGATAGATGCCTTTGTGAGTCAGCCTTCTTCCACCAAGCAGTTGTCAGGCACAGAAGCACCTTTCCTGTTGATCCACCTCCTCGCCCGTTATTTGTTTTAAAGTGAACCTGTGTTTTCCTTCTTGTGAACTCTGGTCAGTATTGCCGTGTAAAGCATTTAGCCCTCAAGTGTGTTTATAACCTTCTCTACTGAAGCAGCTAGACCCACCTGCCTCCAGTTCCCAAGGTTAGTGCAGACAGAGCGGAGCCTGAACTCTCACTGTGTTGCACTGAGCCAGAGTACTTTAAGAACATTTTTTGGGGCTGGGGGGATGACTCAGGGGCCGAGTGCTTGATGTTCCTCTTCCAGAGGACCAGAGTTCAGTTCCCAGCGCGTTGAGTAGCTTACAAGCACCTGCTAACTCCAGCTCCAGGGATCTGATGCCCTCTTCTGGCTTCTGCCACACATGGCACACAGACACATACATATAAATGAAAATAAAACTTAGAAGCCCCCAGGATCCAACTTCTAGGGGCTGTGGCGGCCCTGGAGAGTGTTGCATGCTTGGTGATGGCTCCTGATGCTCTCTGGGCCTTGTGCTTTGCACAGGGTCTGTGTGTGTGTTGGGGGAGGGGTGTTGGCTCCCTGCAACGTGAGTGCCCTCCAGGTAGCCAAGTAGCCAAGCTGATAAACCCATGTGGTGGCTTGCTTGAGGAGCCAGCGCAAACTGGCTCTGGAAATGGTGTTGGAAAACGTGGGTTTCCTACTCTTGTCTAGTCTCACAGGCGTGGTGTTTCTCTGCTGGCCTGTGCCTTCTCTGGCCCAGTCTTCAGTCTCAAAGGCCCAGGGTGGCAGGAGGCATGGTGGTTCTCCAATCACAACCTCTCGTAGGAATGGAACAGTGGGGGCTGGAGAGATGGCTCAGTGGTTAAGAACACTGACTGTTCTTTCAGAAGACCCAGGTTTGAATCCCAGCACCCACATGGCAGCTAACAACTGTCCGTAACTCCAGTACCAGGGGATCTGACAGCCTCTTCTGTCCTCCGTGGGGACTGCATGACACAGGTGCACTCACATACATGCAGGCAATACACTCGTACACCTAAAATAAAAATAAAGTATTTTTTAAAAAAAAGAATGGGCCGGGCCTGGTGGCGCACGCCTTTAATCCCAGCACTCAGGAAGCAGAGGCAGGCAGATCCTCTGTGAGTTTGAGGCCAGCCTGATCTACATAGTGAGTTCCAGGACAGCTGGGGCTACAGGGAGACCCTGTCTCAAAAAGACCAAATTTAAAAAAAACAAGAAAAAGAATGGAACAGTGTTTTAATTGGGTTATGGTTTTTAAATATTAAAAAAAATTTGAGTATAATGTGTGTGTGCGTGCTTATGTACCATGGTGCGGGTATGACAGTCAGAGGACAACATTGTGAAGTTGGTCCTCTCCTTCCACCTTTATAGGGGTTCCAGGAATAGAATGCATGTCGTCAGGCACACGTGCAAATGCTTTATGTAAACCGTCTCACTGGCCCTGGGTTGTGGTTTTAATACACTGGAGTTCTGGAAAGAGCCGCAGTGATGGGTAAATGCGTAAATGTGCCAGCTGCCCTGGGGACTCAGTCATTGTTCTGGTGCCAGATTTACACTCCTGCTCTGGCCACTGGGGGGCGCACAGGGCCTTGTGTTGCTTGCTGCTTGGTACGCGGCCCCCTGGAGCCTCTTAGGTGAAAATGCTCTGTAGGCTGTTCAGGATCATGGCTGCAGGCTGGCAATCGGGATTTGTCATTCTGTATGTGGACTTGGGTTGAAAGTTCCTGTGCTGATAGACCCATGTGGTGGCTTGCTTAAGGAGCCAGCGCAAACTGCCTCCCTGATGAAGTATGACCATAGTGGACGTTGAGGCCTGACCCCCACAGTCAGCCTGGGGCGTTCACGCCACTGCATCCAGGTTCACCATGTCACACAATTGGGCTTCTGCACAGCTGTGTCCTTGGGGGGCTTGTAGAACAGGTCTTCCCTGTGCCACCCTGTGGGTGATGCTTCCTTCTGGGGCTCAGTCTCAGCCCCTGAGTGCACAGGTGATGACTAGGGGACTGGATAATGGAAGGCCCACAACCTTCTTGAGAGTGGGGCCTGTGCTGAGATCCCAGACTTGGGACTGGGTGGCTGTGGTGGTGTTGGAAACACTCAGTGGCATGGGTTGGAGGGTACCACAAGCATGTGGATGTCATGGACTGCAGGGTCCAAATCTGCCAGGGCTAGATCTGACATCCAGAGGAGTGTGGGGGCAGTGTGAGCCTTGTCCCACCTGGGGATCAAGTGGATGGGCTCAGTTTGCCCTTGGCCGGGCTGTAGATCTATCCCCGGAATTTGCTTTCAGAATTTCCACTGGGCTTGAAGCCCTGCTGTGATCAGATATTCCCTTACAAAATACTTCTATTTCAAGACATGTTTCTCACTGGACTTCAGGAACTCGGGCATATTTAGCTTTGGCCTCTGCACATTTAGATCTAGAGGAATATGAGTCTTGAGTCCTCATCCCCAGAATATGAGGAAGAGAAGGGACTTCTTAGAAACCTCTGAAGTGTGCAGTGCACCCTGGGAAGATGCATTTGGCCCATGGCAAATGAGTGTAGTGTCTGTGGGCCTGGTGCAGCTATAGGGAGCACCACTCAAGGCAGACAGGGACCTGCCAAATGTTGAAACTGTTACCAGAAAAATGGGGACGTGGCCATTCTGATGAGGCGCCTAAGCCTCCCATCTTTCCCAGAAGGCCTGGTAGTTACCTGCAGGCCCAAAGATTCAGAATCCAATGACCAAGACTTCCCCAAGGAGCTGGCTAGGTAGGGAGAAGTCGAGGGAAGCTCAGTGGTCAGCACCTCCCCCAAGGTACAGGGTCTCATTTGGAAGGTCCAGGCCAGGGTTAGAACAGCAAGACTGTTACTGGGTCTTTCTCCAAGTAAGGGTTTGAAGACCAGCTCACTGGGACCTCAGAGCCGTGCACTGCTGGCTCAGCCATTTTGAGGCTACTGAGAAGGTGAAGACCAGTGCTGTCTCCTCCCCAGGAGTGGACATGGTAGTCAAGGGAGCTGGTCAGACACGGGGATTTCCCTGGGGTGGGGGGAGCTGTGTGGGTTGTAGAGTAAGGATGGGGGTGTGTGCATGGAACCCTGAGCAAAAGCTGAGGAGCATGAACCACATACCCATCTCCTATATCAGCTGGCCTTTTGGCTTCCCATCTCCAGGCCCTCATCACCCTTTCCTGGGCTACCTTGGCCTCCATGCATACCCTCTTAAGCTCAGCGTGGCAGTGTTGATACTGGTTCTCTCCTCTGGGGACTGGTTCTCTGCTTGGTCGTGGAAGGCCTGAGGTGCCTCTATGTGCCTTATCTTGGGCAGGGTGCCATGGGGGTCCAGACAGGAGGTGCCCATTAGCTCCAGCTCTGCTTAGTAGATGAAGGCAGGGAGTGGGAGGTGGGAAACCCCTGCAAGATGTGCAAGGTGCAGACTCTGAGTTGGGGGTGAGATGCAGTGGGAGGACGGAAGGAAACTGAGGAGGGAGATAGAGAAGTGGGAGAGGGACAGGAGGCTCACAGTATTCTGTGCCCAAGACTAAGGTCCTAAGGGTCTGCAACAGGAGATGTGGGCCACAGGGAAGGAACCTTGACAGGTGAGGGTCTTCTCTTAATGACCAGAAGGCTCAGGCTTCTGGGCACAGGACTGCCCTGGAGGATGACTCCCTCAGCATGGCTATTCATCCAAACACCATAGACTGGCATCTGATCCAGTCATCCAGAAGTTAAACAGGCTGCCTAACAGGTCCTGGCATCCATGTTCACAACAGTAGCAGTCACAGTAGCCAGCGGTGAAACAACCCAGTTTCACCTGCAGACAGATCTGGATCAGCAGCATATGGTCTAGCCATTGAATGGGTGCTACTCAGCCTTAACGGGAAGGAAGGTTTTACCAGCTACAATGATTGACCCGAGGAGGCATGCTGAGTGACACATGCCAAGTGCTATAGGATTCGACTTCAGGGCGTCTGCTGGGCTCATGCAGAGACAGGAGGTAGAGGAGTCAGTGTTACACAGGGATGTTTTTAGCTGGGAAATGGGGTGATGACGGTTACACAGCATGACAGCATAACGCACCCAGCTGTGCACTTAAGCGTCTCCCAACCCCATACCTCCTTGGACAAATGGAGGAAGAATATAAGGATGCATGTCTTTTGCTGATCCTTGGGAGAGGTGCAGAGGCCTAGCCCCAGAGTGCTTCAGGGGAAGCCTTCCTGGTGGGTGGCCTCGCAGAACTGCCTACTTGCTTTCCCCTTTCTAGCTTCCTTCCAGCCAACCTGGGTGACCCAGCACTCTGCCGGCTGGCAGTGCTCCTTGGGGATGGGCACAGGCATCTGTCCAGCTCAGCCTGTCAGATCCAAGTCCAGGATGACTAGCAGAGAGACTGAAATGGGTGCTATGCTGACCACTGAGTAATGCCTGGATGCAGAATACCTACCCCAAGAAAGGCGTCCGCATGACCAACTGCTCAGCTGGGGGCTGAGCACAAGCAGGAAGGCTGTGACTCAGGCTTGAAAGCCTCAGTGGAGTAGCCATAGCACCTGTCCTCTTGTCCTCCACTTGCCTTAAGCTCCCTCCCCCCAGTGCTGGCCAGCCCCGGTGCTGCGACACAGGAGCTGTGTGAGGTCAGCGCCTCATAGATCCCTTGGGAGGTGAAGAGGCCCCCATAATTCTTATGCGTGTTAGGCCACAGACTGGCCCCTTTTCCTTGAAGGTTTCTGGTCTCATTCTAAAGGGAGCGTTGGTTTGAATCCCAGAGGCCCCTCCCAGCTGAGAGGCTCTTGATGTCTGGTGTTAACCACCCTGTTGTCTGCTTGGGGCCGGCCCTTCACATCCTTGCCCCTGGTGGCTAGTCTCTGGTCAGATCTCGAGGCACAGAGGGTAAAGTCAGGGAAAGGGGGAGGCTTGTGCAGGCCTCCTGGCTGCTTGGATTTGTTCTTAGTGTAACAGTTTTACTTCTGGTCAGCCAGATCCTGGGTGACAGCAGCCAGCTCTCCCAGGTGTCCTATGTACACAGTGCTGTGTGGCTTACCTTGTTCTGTCCTGGTCCCTGGGGTACAGCTTTGTCCTGGTGTCCTGGACCTGCAAGCTGAAACCACGTTACTGTGTCCCTTGAGGTAAGTTTTCAAGTTGGGAAATGTAAGGGAGGGATGCCATGCCTCCTACCCCATTGGCAACATGGAGACAGACTCCTGGTTTCTTCCTGGGGAGCAACTCTACCCTGTGGACCTCCCTGACCCCAGCCTGAGTGAGACCCCTCCTCCTCACAGCAGTCCTCTACCTGGGTGCTTAGTACCTCCTTTCCAGGCATTGGAGAGCACCTGGTCTTGGCAGTATCCCCAGGGTTTGAACAGTTTTGTCCAGCTTGTGGAAGTCTCTTGGAACTAAGGAGCTTTGGCCTCAGCAGTCCCCACCCAAGTGTCCCAGTTTCTTCTTTTACCTGGATAGGAGTTTTGGGAGCTGTTGGTGTCAGCTGCTTAGACCTGGATCTGCGCTGGTCTGAGGCCCATCGTCATCCACACTTAGTTTAATGTGTGGGCACATTAAACACAGACACATCTCCAACCCACTGGGACACGATTTCCCTCCCCAGAGCCACCCAAAGTCAAGCCTCAATCCCATTCTGCATTTATCCTGGCTCTAAAATTTCAAAGGTCTCGAGACAAAGACAATGTAAGCAGTGTTCCATCTTCTGGAAGGTTCTGTCCCAGAGGCATTTGGGCCCTAGATGCATGAAGGCCAGTCAAAAGTGATGTGGTCAGGGGCTGGAGAGATGGCTCAGCAGTTAAGAACACTGGCTGTTCTTGCAGAAGACCAGGGTTCCAATCCCAGCACCCACATGGCAGTTAACAACTGTCCGTAACTCCAGTTCCAGGGAATCCAGCCTCTTCTGTCCTCCATGGGCATTGCATGACACGGGTGCACTTACGTACATGCAGGCAATACATGCATACACATAAAAAATAAAAATAAAATATTCTTTAAAAAGTGATGTGGTCAGAGGCACTTGACTGTAGGATTGGGAGACCCCAGACTTGGGCTTGGGGTGACATGGGCTTGACCCACCTGTCCCATACCTGCTATAAGGCAGGAACCCAGGGCTGACCTGGGTGAGTACATGACTGTCCTTGGTTTGTCCTGACAAATAAGGAGACAGCATTCACTCAGTCCATTCCATAGTTGCTGGCAGCCCAGGTCTATGCAGGGGTGGGGGAGGGGTGTTCTAGGAAGCCAGGTCTGCCAATACCAGGCAGCAGGCCCAGAGCTGGGGTAGAGCCATGCTGTCTCAGGAGCTCAGGAACTGTGACCCCAAGGACACAGAAGCCTGGGGAGGCTTGTCCCCCGGGGCCTGATGGGCAGGCAAAAAGTTTTAATCAGTAACGGCAGAGAAGCTCTGCAAGAGAGCAGGAGGGGACCCGCTGCTGGATCCTGCAGGAATAGGTGGTTACCCCAGGGGAGGTCAGGATGGACCCAAGTTGGCTAACTGAGTCCTTGGTGGCTCAGAAGTCTCAGCCGTCACAATAGTGTATGACCATTCCACGGACAATCCCCCCTGACCAATTCGCACCCCCCATGTTTAATTCTTGAGGGGGGAGAACTCGAACTTAATTCGTTCACTAAATTAAATTAAAAGGTAGCATTTTCTCCTTGGAACAGTGATGTAGCCTTGGGCTGTGTGCCTGCTGGGCTCTGCCAGTGTCCAGCAGGCTGGTGCTGGGCAGGAGGCCAGGGCTGGTCTGGAGATGCTCTGGTCTCTTCCATACACTTTCTGTTGTAAAGTACCTCAGTAAAGGTTCCTGAATTGCCCGGGAGAGAGTCCACACATCAAGTGGACCTCTAAGGGTGGTGGTGCTAGTTTTTTAGCATTTCTTCTTGTTTTAAATTGTGTATGTGCTGGGGCTGGAGAGATGGCTCAGTGGTTAAGAGCCCTGACTGTTCTTGCAGAAGACCCAGGTTCAGTTCCCAGCACCCACATGGTGGCTAACAACCATCCGTAACTCCAGTTCCAGGGGTCCGATGCCCTCTTCTGACCTCCACAGACAGTGCACTTACATACATGCAGACAATACACTCATGCACATAAAATAAAAATAAATAAAGGGGCTGGAGAGATGACTTAGCAGTTAAGAACACTGACTGCTCTTGTAGAGAACCTGGATTCAATTCCCAGCACCCACATGGCGGCTATGAACCGTCCTTAACTCCAGTTCCAGGGGAATCTGATGCCCTCTTCTGACCTCTGCAGCACTGCACAACACAGGTGCAGAAAATACACTCATACACATAAAAATAATAAAATACATTTTAAAAAATAATAGGTGCCGGATGTGGTGGCACACACCTTTAATCCCAGCACTCGGGAGGCAGAGGTAGGCGAGCTCTGTGAGTTCGAGGCCAGCCTGGTCTCCATAGTAAATCCAGGACAGCTGGGGCTACAGGGAGACCCTGCCACAAAAAGACCAAAAAAAAAAAAAATAGGTAAAGTATTTAAGCTGGGCATGGTGGTGCACACTCAGGAGGCGGAGGCAGGCAGGTGGAACTGCCCTGGATATGTCACACGTATGGATTCATAAGTACTTTTTTTTCTCGGCATCTTTCTTCAGCACCGTACTGGAGAGTTTCATTCGCACTGTAGCATGGGTCAGTGCGTCACCTTTACAGGAATTCAGTGCTGGACCACTTAGCCGATTCCGATTCCTTTGGGTCATCCCCAGTGTTTATCCTTCATCCATGGATGGACACCTGCTGTGCTGCCTCCTGTCCTGTGAATAATGCCGCTGCAGTGCAGGTGAGCGGTTCTATTTGATGCCTTCCAAGCTCCTGCTGCCTGGCTGGATGCAGGTGACCAACACCAAGCCAGGTAGGAGGCATTCGTACCTCATAAGACTCCACAGTCTGCCCAGCAGCAAGCATGGGGTAAGGAAATGGGACCAGCAGGTGGGAACCACTGAAGTGTGCCCTGGGCGCGCCTCAGCCCGTGGACACTATGGCCTTCAAGGGTTGTTGAGTGGGGACTTTGTTGAGCATCATTTACCCAAGGCCTTGCTGTCTAAACTCTTGGAGGGTCCTGGCACCCTGGAGACATCGGTTTGGGCCTCAGGGCTCTTTCAGGGACAAGCCTGGGCCTCCGGGGGCCTTTGCTAAATTATGCTGGTCTGAGAGCTCAGCCCCTTCCTACTGCCATCATTATACACAATCATACTTTTACCTAATTTCAGTATTTTAAAGACATTAAGTTTAGCTTGTTTTACCCTAACAATTTTTTCCCAGTGCTAGGGGTTGAACCCAGGGCCTTGTGCAGGTCAGGCAAGGGCTCTGACAGTCTTCTGTGAACTTTCTGCTTGCAGCTGGGGGTCCACAAGCACTTGTAGAGCACAGTATTGCCTTTGATGAGTCATGCTACCCCACAGAGGCTGTTTGTTCCTGCAGTGCCCTGTAGAAGCCCTTGCATAGCAGTTCAACTCTCCAAGTGTCATGACAACCCCTGCTCTCCGAGGGCCTGCTGGAATGCAGGGCTGGGCAGGCTTTGGCTGAGGCAGGTGGATCTGCCTCTGGATGTGTCACACACACATATGGATTCACCCTCTCCTAATGGCCAGTAGTTATGGGACAAGGATCATTTCCCAGATGCTGGCAAGGGCTTCTGGGTGCACAAGACTAGCCACAGGGTCACATGGGAACCCTGAATCTAAATGAATATTATAGCTTCAAATTTGAAAACCGGGTTCTGCAAATCAAAGCCGAAAACCTGAAAACTTCCTGAAAATTAAGTTTAGCACATACATTTCAAATTATTTATTTTTGAGACAAGGCTTCACGATGTCCCACAGGCTGACCTTACTCACAGCAACTCCCCGCCTTGGTCTCTCAAGTGCTGGGATTACAGGCTTGTCCTAGTTAGCTTTAACTGTTAACTTGACACAGCCTAGAGTCACTTGAGAAAGGACTGTCAGTTGAAGGGTTTTCCAGATCAGATTGGCCTGTGGGCATGTCTGGGGAGGGGTGTCTTGATTGGTAATCGATATAAGAGGGCCTGGCTCACTGTGGGCAGCACCATTCCCTGGGTACGTGGTCCTGTCCTCCATAAAAAAGCTAGGTAAGCATGAGTGAGCGAGTCGAGCAAGCAGCATTCCTCAAGCAGCATTCCTCCATGTCAGTGAGTCCAGCAAGCAGCAATGACTTTCCTCAATGATGACTGTGACCTGGAGGTGTAGCCAGATAAACCCTCCCCTCCCCCAAGCTGCTTTTGGTCATGCTGTCTATCACAGCAACAGAGTGGAACTAGACCCAGGCCCAGGCCCCTGACCCAGCCAGCATTCCGTTTTTAAAGTTTTGGTAAAACTTTAAAAATACAATTTAAGCCGGGTATGGTGGCACACGCCTTTAATCCCAGCACTTGGGAGGCAGAGGCAGAGGGATCTTTTTGAGTTTGAGGCCAGCCTGGTCTACATAGTGAGTTCCAGGTCAGCTGGGGCTACAGGGAGACCTTGTCTCAATAAAGACCAAAAAAAAAAAAAAAAAAAAAAAAAAAAAAAAAAAAAAAAAAACCATTTAAAAATACCACATAAAAATGACCATTTACCATTTTGCTTTTAAGATAGGGTCTCACTGTATTGCCCCAGGCTAGCCTCTAATTCCTAGGATCAAATGCTCTTCCTGCCTCAGCCTCCTGAGCCTGTAACTACAGAGGATCACCGGCACACCTGATACCTGACCATGGAACATACAATTCAGTGACCATTAGCACACTTGGTTCTGTGTAACCATCACCACCATCCTTCAACCAAACTCTCCAGTTTTCCTAAACAGCTACTGTCCCTGTTGACATTTACCTTTTACAATGGACAGCTGTCAACCTGACACAGATAGGAAGGAGCCTCAATTGGGGAATTGCCTCTGTTGGACTGGCTTGTGGGCATGTCTGTGAGGCATTTTCTTGATTGCTGAGTGATGTGGGAGGGCCCAGCTCACTGTGGGTGATGCCACCCTGGGTGGGCGGTCCTGGGTTGTGTAAGAAAGCAGGCTGAGCACAGGCCAGAGGAGCAAGCCTGTGAGCAGTGTTCTTCCGTGGTCTCTGCTTCAGCTCCTGCCTCCAGGTTCCTGCCTTGGCGTCTCTCAAAGATGGATTGTGATCTGGACCTGTAAGCCAAATAAACCTTTTCCTTCTCCAGTTGCTTTGGTCAGTTTTTCCAGAGCAGTCGTAAGCCAGCTAGGACACCTTTCCACTGAGCCCATGCACTCGTACAGGTGACCTCGGGGAGGCACACAACGGGGTGAGGCTACATTACAAAGACCACTGAGGCAAGAAAGGTGAGTGGTCACCCACACTTCCACCTGCAAGAGCTGGTGCCCTCACAGAAGCAAGTGGCCATGTGAACTCACACAGTGGTACCCACATCCTAGCCAGTGTCCTCCTTGGTTTTATTTTGAAACAGGGTCTTGCTAGGCAACTGGGGCTGGCTTTGAACATGCCATCCTCCCTCCTCAGCCTCCTAAGTGCTGGGATCACAGGTTTGTACCATTACATCCAGTGTATATCTGGCTTTGCTGTGCAGTGTCATGGAGGGACAGGGGTCTGCATGGGGGTCTGGAGGAGCCCTCCCCTCCCCTCCCTCTCAACTATCAGCTCTGCCTAAAGAAGTGAACCTGGAGTAGGGGGATGCCCTCAGGGGACCACAGACCCTCCTGCTAGCCAGAGCTCCTGCCTCAATCCAAAGTGTTAACGTTGTATTGAGAACACTTCTGAGAACCCTTCTTAGACTCCCAGTTTCCAGGGTGGAGAAAGCTGGCCCAGGCCATAGATAAACTGCTCTTACAAAGCTTTCCTTCTCAGTGCCCTCTGGAGCTCTGCAGTGGCCTGTTTTCTGATTCCCTGAAGCGCTTTCTCCGGACATGCTTCTTTGAAGTTTCCTGTTGTCCAGGATGGTAGGACCCAATGCAGAGGTCTTCCCATTACCTATGCCAGGCCAAGGTGCTTCTGAGGTCCCCACTGTCTGCAGAGACACCAAATACATACCCAGATACAAAGGCCAAGAACGGCCAAGCACTACTAAATGCTGTTTGGCAGGGCATGCTCTTCAGGCCTGGTGCCATCATGTACCGGCCATGCCTGTCAGTGCTTCGGATAGGGAGTGGTCCTCAGTGCCGAGCATCTCCTTTGAAGCTGTACTGCTTTCTCCTGGACATCTGTGGTGAGCCTGTGTCCATCAGCAGGAACCTGTGCTATGCCCACTATCCTCACCCATAGCTGCTCACCCAACTGCTGCAAATGCTTCTGGGCGCTCCTGTCATTGCTGGAGAGGATGAGGGCCGACTGTGCATGTCACAGGATGCGTTTCCTCTAACATGAAGAGTATCAGAGCCACCTCAGGCCCTTGCTCTTTTGCACCTCTTATGAGCTGGGTAGAGAAACTGACCTTGATCATGAATGGAGCCAGTGGCCTGAGGCTGCTGTTTGCCAGGCCTCACATGGAGAATGTGCCCATTCTGTGAGAGTGAGGGGACGAGCCATGAATCACAGCTCACATAGCTGATGTGAGGATATCAGGTCTGGACACTTCTGTTTTTTTAAATTTTATTATTTTTATTTATTTTTTTGTCTGAGACAGGGTCTCCCTGTAGCTCCAGCTGCCTGGAACTTGCTCTGTAGACCAGGCTGGCCTTGAACTCATCAGCCTGCCTCTGCCTCCCAAGTGCTGGGATTAAAGGCATGTACCACCACACCAGGCTTTTATTATTTTTATGTGTACGAGTGTATTGCCTGCATGTATGTGAGTGCACCCATGTTGTGCAATGCCGCAGAGGTCAGAAGAGGGCTTCGGATTCCCCTGGAACTGGAGTTAAGGACAGTTCGTAGCTGCCATGTAGGTGCTGGGAATCAAAACTGGGTCCTCTGCAAGAGCAGTCAGTGCTCTTAACTGCTGAGCCAACTCTCCAGCCCTTATTTATTTTTATTTTATGTGTATGTGTGTATTGCCTGCATGTAGGTAAATGCATCTGTGTCATGCAATGCCTGAGGTCAGAAGAGGCTGTTGGATCCCCTGGGACTGGAGTTACGGAAGTTGTTAGCTGCCATGCGGGTGCTGGGATTCAAACCCAAGTCTTCTGCAAGAACAACCAGTGTTCCTAACCACTAAGCCATCTTTCCAGCCCCTCAGGTCTGGACACTTTCTAGGCCCTCCCTTTAAGATTTTTATTTATTTATTTATTCATTTATATATTTGGTCCTTTTGAGACAGGGTCTCCCTGTAGCCCCAGCTGTCCTGGAACTCACTATGTAGACCAGGCTGGCCTCGAACTCACAGAGATCTGCCTGCCTCTGCCTCAAGTGCTGGGATTAAAGGCGTGCGCCACCACACCTGGCTAAGGTTTATTTTTATGAGTGTTTGCCTACATGTATGTATGTGTACCTGGTACTTGTGGAGGCCAGAGGATGATTCTCTGAAGCTGGAATTCAAATGGATGTAAGCTGCCATGTGGGTGCTGGGAACCAAAAGTGGGTCCTCTGCAAGAGCAGCCAGTGCTCTTAACCACTGATCCATCTCTCCAAGTTTTAGTCCCCTTGTTTTAACTCAAATGTTGCCACATAAACATGCCAGGTGCCACCTGAGCTCCCTAAGCCATGGGGATTCAACCAAACCCGTACTGAGAGCCTGTGCTCACAGGTCCAGGTGCAGTCTATGATTCCCCTCATGGGATGTTATTCCTGTCCCTAACATACAGCACAGGCCTGCTGGCTGTCCCATGATATTAGCATCTGAGTCTCCAGATCAGCAGAAGACGGTCCAACCTTTCATTTCTCCACAGCCAGTGAAAAGTCAGCAAATCCTCACCTCTCTTCCGAAGACAGTCCCATGTATCCCAGTCTAGCCTCAAACTCATTATGTAGCCAGGATAGCCTTAAACAGGAATCTGATCCTCCTGCCTCCATCTCCCAAGTATCAGGATACAGGGGTGCATCTGGTTTATGTGCTACTGGGAACTGAATTAGAGCCTCATGCATGCTAAGAAGCACTCTACTGAGACACAACCCCAGCTCATCATTTGTTGTTTTGGTCTTATTGAGACAGGTTCTCTCTGTAGCCCCAGCTGGCCTGGAACTCACTATGTAGACCAGGCTGGCCATGAACTCACAGATTCGCCTGCCTCTGCCTCCCAAATGCTGGGTCTAAAGGGGTGTGCCACCATGCCCGGCTCATAAGCACCTTTTAACGAAAACCTCAAAGGCTTCTAGAAGTATGCCTGTTGCCCACATCCTAGCTGCTCCCTCCCCAGCCTGGAAGCAAAGCCTAGATAGTGTTCATCTTTTGTGCCTTTCAGAGATAAACTCTTCAGGTGAAACACCCCTATATTACCCCGACTCTACCAACCCACCTAAAAAGGCCACCTTCCTGCACTCTCTAGCAACAGCTGAGACACCTGTCCCCATTGGCACATCCAGTTGGGACAACTGGCTGCATTGCTAGCCTTATTTGGGCACAGGTGGCCATGCCAGGCCTTTGGTATAGCTGGATGGCGTGGAGGACAGAGTCCCTGGGTGGAGTGAACATGACGTAGATAAAAGGTCACTGTGATGCTGCACTGTCTGTGGCACTTACTAACAGATGCCTTGCTTGTCTGTGTTCTGGGAAAACCAAACACATGCTCTTGGACTTCATAGAATCAGAATTAAAAATAGAAAGTTAATAAAAAAGTTAAACTTGTCTTTTCAAATTTAACTATATTTGTGCTGTATCTCTTAAGAGTGACTCCTGGCAGACTTTTTTTTTTTCTTTCCACATTTTAAAAATTTTTTAAAAATAATTTACTAGGCCAGGCATGGTAGTGTACACCTTTAATCCCAGCACTTGGGAGGCAAAAAAAAATTTACTGAGCATTTCATACAGGCATATAGCATATAAGGTGTTTTGATCAAATCCAAGATGCCCACTCCCTCCCCTCCATCTCCTCCCATATCTCCCCATCACTTTATTCTGATAACTTCATGTACTCTTTCTTCTTTTTGCTACTCTAATATTCCCCCTCTGAAGAGGTAACCCTAAAATCTTTTACGGATTAGATAAAAGCTCCCAAATACTTTAGACATTTTTGGCCTTTTGAATGGAGTATGTTGCTAAGAGCCCCAAGGACATTTTGACTTCTAGCCAAGAAACTGGCTACTTTTCTTTGGAGTCTTTTTACACTAACTGCCTAGCCAATTCCTACCTCCTGTTCTTTGAGGCCCAGCTTACCTGGAACTCGCCATGTAGACCAGGCTGGCCTCAAACTCAAGAGATCAGCTTGCCTCTGCCTCCCAAGTGCTGGGATTAAAGGCGTGTGCTACCACGCCCAGCCCTACCTCCTGTTCTTATCACACCACCCCCTGAAGAGGTTACCCAACTTGCAGATAGGGATTCGGGATGCAGACGGCTCTGGCTTCTTCCATGGTGAACAGGGATTCAGGGTGTGGCAACTGGAGTACCCCTTCAGTGGGTCTATCTAAAAGACTCCCAACTTGCATAACTCTTATCTCTAGGGGGAAAAGAAAGTCCTTGAATCGTGAATAGGAGATGTGAAGAAGTAAAGGCAAGAGTAATTAGTTTTACAAGTTCTAGACAGGGAACTAGAAAAAGTCAGAACAGGGCATATT